AAATTTTATTTAAATATTTTAAATAATTAAAAAAGTAGATCAGAGATATATTTATAGTAATTATACAGACAAATTTGCCTGCAAATTTCTACCAATTAAGGGATAACACATAGCTAGAATTAGTCTTTCATAATTGCTGAATTATTTACTTTTCATACTTGCTAAAATTATTTAGCTTTTTTATCAAAATACAATCAATTCCAAAATACCTACTAAAATACTTTTTTTAGATATAATTTAAGCATATATAAGGCTAAGATTGATACAATATGAACTCATGAATACTAATAAATAGATATATATATACAAAAATATATGCACTACTACAGTATTGTTTGAATTCAATGCTATTGTTGGTAGAATATGAACTAGCCTTTCTTATTCATTTAGCAGATACATACAATATGCACAATAGTTATTCTTTGATAAAGGTTAATTAGGAGTGTGCCAGGGTGACTACCAGAACTATAGACATAATAAGATACTATATCATAGAAAATTATTGAATCATCTAGCTCTTGCATACAGCTTTATTGCTATGAAATTTTCATATATAGATGTGGCGTCTTATCATATGCCCATTGGTGGTCACCCTGGTGTACTTGTTAATTAGATCTTGAAAAAATAACCTTCATATTATATACAATACTAGTTTTATAGCCAAGCTGCTATTGATTTTGTTGACCAAATTCGTGGTTCAATCAATTTTATATATTTTGATTTATCATTAATAACTCTCGATTTAGTGATTCAATCTTGATAATTTGATATCATTTAATCCTCTTAGTGAGAGGCTTAGAATTTATCAAATTATCAAGATTGAATCATTAGATTGCGAGTTATAAATGATAGATTAAGTACGAAATTGATTAAAACACGATAAAACCTATATTATGTATATAATTTTTCAAAAAAATAACAGTTATATGCATAATTATATTGTTGATAGCTCAAATTTGAATAATGAAATTATAATAAGTAATGCAATATAAACAGTAAAAATTATATATAAATAAAAGAAAAACCTTAAAACTTTAATACACTTACTGTTTAAATATAAATCGCATTAGTAATGTCAATATACGATTCTCATCAGCTTAGTTCTTACAATAGCGATACTTTAAGTTGGGCTAATGAAGTTGAATTAAATGAATCAAACGAGTTAAACGAATTAAATGAATCAAACGAGTTAAATGAATTAAATACATCTAATATATTAGAAGATGTACATAACCTAGATGCTGAATCTGATTCGAATTCTCTTGACCAACCTCCGTTAAGTGGAGTTACTATTACTAATAGTTTAGATAAAAGAGTTCGAAAAAAAAAGAATTTTACTTATTCCAAAAAACTGAATTCAAGAGAAAGTTGGGTGTGGCTCTATTTTAGGTGAAATAAAATTGAAAAAAAATATATTGCAAAGTTATAGTCATAGATAAGGATAGTTTAAAAAAAGAATGTAGTAATGACTACAAATTATCAACTGGAACAGGCAATTTAAAAGCTCACCTTCATCAAATTTACAAAATTTTGCCTTCTGAAGAAAATAATCAGAATCAATCAGTTAAAATAGCTTCAAACCAACTATCATTACATGATTTTATAAATAAAAAAACATCCTTACCTACTTCAAAGCAAAATAAAATCACAAATCATGTTTTAGCCTAGATCATTGATGATCTTCAACCATTTAATGCTACAACAAATAATTGTTTTCACAATATGATTTTTGAATATAAGCCAAGGTTTGAATTTCCCTGCTATGATAAATTAAAAGAAAAATTAATGCAGTTAGTACTTTTTGCTAAACAACAACTACTACAAAAAACAATGAATTCTTTTTGTTTTACAACAGACCTCTGGTCTCAAATACACCAACCTTATATTGCTATAACTATTCATTGGATCAGTTCTGAATTTAATTTATATCAAGCATTATTTACAATTCAAAAATCTGATTACTCTCACATTGGAGATTGAATTGAAGATTTTTGCTGCCAACTTTTTGACAAATGAGAAATATATAAAAAACTTTTAGGTACTTCAATGGATAATGCCTCCTTAATGAATAAAGCTATGGATCAACTTGGTTTAAGCATATAGGTAAAACTACCTTACAAGAATCGTGCTGTTTTTGAATTAGTGTAATCATTAAATTTTGTGAATCTTACAAATCCTACATATCACTATTGCTAAAGCAATACCAATATGCGGGATTCGTGAGATTCACAAAATTCAATGATCATACTAATTGATAATTCTTAATTCTAGTTATATAAATTTAATAGGCAATCCGCCAGTCACCTGGATAAAAAATTTTTTTTTTATATATAAATTTTACTATAAGTGCGAATGCA